CCCCCCCCCCCCCCCGCCGCCCTCTCGCGCCTCCTTCACGTCGCTGCCCGCTGGGCGGTGCCGTGACACGAGCCTGCTCATGCCAAGTTGGATTGGGCCCCAGGAGTGGGGTGCTGACTCCCTGGGGAGCGTGTCTGTGTTGTCTTTTCACCTGACCGTAGAAGGTTTCGTGTGAAATTGAAGTTTTTCTAAGGTGCGCTTAGAATCTGCTCAGCCTGACAAAACCGGTGTCTTCGGAAAGGGGGAGCAGGCGACGCTGACTGAGAATGAGCAGGGGTTTGGTGTGGGCGCCCCCCGGCTGTCTGAGTGCTGCCTCCGTAGCCGTCCGTTCTGCACGCAGTTGACATCTGCAGCTTCTATGCAGACCTTACGCTTCTGTTGAGCTTTAAAACTGAAGTTCACGACAGCACGCCTTGCCCGCTGCCATTCTGCCACCTGCACAGCAGTGGTCGCTGCAGCGTGTCACACGCCGTGTGTGGCACTAGCCCAGCCAGCAGCTGCTGGGGCGGCCAGCGGGGCCCAGGGATGCGCCGGCAGACCCAGCCCAGCCCCGCAGCCGAAGCGCGCTCGTGCCCAGAACCCGGGGAAAGGCATTTGGTGTCGGGACCCCGAGTGTGCGCCAGGGGGTGGGGAGAACTTGCACCTGGGTTTTTCTCACCTGGAGAAATCCTCCTCCGGCAGAGTCGGAGTCAGTGTGCAGCTGAGCTTGCTGTTTCGGAGAGTGACAGTCCGGGAGACGGGCTCTCGTGACCCCCGCCCCGGTGCACCCAGGAAGGGGCCCGAGCCCCGGGTGTGGGGCGGCCCAGAGCCAGTCAGCTCAGAGGGCAGCACTGACCCCAGGAAAACTGGCGGGCGCCACACAGGACGGGGCTTGGGGGGCAGTTACGGAACTTTTTTCCACCCGCCTCTGTCTGTTTTTCTTTCTGAATCGATCATCAGCTAGAACCAAGAATTTGTCTAAAACTTCAACACACTGTTATGAAATCTTTAGAAATGAAGCTAGTTATTTGAAAGTTAATACCTACTTTCTAGGAATCTGGGGAGCTCTATTTTAAATTTAATTTGATTAAATTCTCAGTGATTCCTCCATTGATAAAATCCTCGAGCATTATTAATGTGATTTTGAAGTTGCTCCAAACTGTTACCTGCTTCGTGATGTCCCTAACGGAGCCTGACTGGTCCCTGCCCGCAGGAGGTCGGTCATTGAGATTAGCCGCGCCCTGAAGGAGCTCTTCCATGAGGCCAGGGAGAGGGCCTCGAAGGCGCTGGGGTTTGCCAAGATGTTGAGAAAGGTGAGTGAGCGAGCAGTCCCGGCCCATGCTGTCCGCCCACCCCCGCCAAGCGGGTCTGAGGAGTGTCTGGCTGTCGCCCTAGGACCTGGAGACTGCGGCCGAGTTCACGCTCTCGGCCCCCGTCAGCACGCTGCTGGAGGCTCTGAAGTCAAGGCAGTACGTCAAGGTGAGGCCTGTGGAGGTGGGCCGTGGGGTGGGGCCTCTGCCTGGGGAAGCCGGCGGCGCGGGCGGGGGGCCTCTCCTCAGATCACTGTGCGGGAAGTGGACGCTTGCGCTGTGCAGGTCGCCAGGGCCTGCCGCACACGCCGAGCGCAGCGCCGTCTGTCCGGAGCCTCCCCTGAGATAGTGCGGAGAAGCACGCTCGCCCATACTTAGGCTGCCGAGAACATCAGACTCGTCCTCATGCTGTCTAAGCTGTCACATTGCGTATATATTTAAAATAATACACATCAAAGACGATGATTTTAAATAATCGATTTGCTTTTTACCCACGTCGCCCAAAACAATTCAAACTCTTCTTTGAATTTATTTCACATCATTGTGTAGTCCCCGTAAAATTCCCACCTGCAGTTCACCCCGGGACCATCATTGTTGTCCCTCCCTTGTGCCTTCTCTCCCCTGAATTGACCCTTCTCCCTCCCCTCCCTGAAGTAACGTCTCTTAGCGACTCAGACATTTTACGTGACTTCAGACATCAGGGCCCTGCTCGTCACGGAGCCGCTCTCACAGTCACCATCCTGTTCCCGTCAGCGTTGTTCCTCTCTGGCCCCTCTAGAGTCTGTGTGATGTGGCTGCTGGAGGTTTTGCCCCAGGGCCTCAGTTGGGCCCCACCCACACTGATTGGCACAAGGTGATGGCTTGTATTCCTTGGAAAGGCTCAGGGGCGTCAGCAGCGACTCAGGAAGCTGTAGTAAGACGCTCGCTGACCGAGTCGTGCAGGCGAACAGGGGCCGGCGACATGGTGTTCAGCCTGCTGTCCCTCCACTGAAGACGATTTTCTTTGATGTTGGAGAGGGAGCAGTTGGAAGGTGCCCTGGGAGCGGAGAAACAGTGAGGCGCCGCTGCCCACACGCTCCCCTTCGCCCGCCTCGCCGCACGGAACGGCACGCCCCAGCGAGCTGGACGTCCCCACGCCTCCTGCTCCGCACTGCTTGGCTCGGCCGTGCTTCTGTCAGTGACATTTCCGTAATGCAGGACGCTCCTGGTGCTAGGATTTTGGTTGGTTTCTCTTCCAGGTACAGATTCCTGGCTTGGAAAACGTGCACGTGTTTGTTCCAGACATTCTTGCTGAGGAGAAGAGTATTATTTTGCAGTTACTCAATGCAGCTGCCGGCAAGGACTGCTCAAAAGATTCGGATGACGTACTCCTCGACGCCTACCTGCTTCTGACCAAGCACAGTGACCGCACGCGGGACTCAGGCGACGGCTGGGCCGCCTGGGACGCTCAGCTGGTGAAAATTGTGCCTCAGGTGGAGACGGTGGATACTCTGAGGAGCATGCAGGTGTGTCTCTCCCTGGCTCCCACACCTGCCTTAAGCAGCATCGCTTAAAATACTAGGTGGCGTGAATTGCTGGGACTCGCACAAGGCTGGTGTAGCTGCCGCAGACCCCCAAGGGTGCACTTCCCCAAAATAGGCTTCCGTGGGTTGCTTTAAAGCTTTATTCATTTATGCACACAGATTTGGGGTACAGTGCAGGGGTGGTGATACATCTGAGACAGAGTGGGGAGCAGAACAGGCAGATAGATGGACGAGCAGCGGGGAGACAGGAGGGGTCTGCCGTGCCCTGTGGGTCACCTCCTGGACTGGGCATCCAACTCGCACTGAGGCAGCGGCGGCCAGCCTGCAGGGCTGCGCTTTAACCCGCTGCACCCCCAGAGGGCCCAGGCCTCCGTATTTTAATGGGTCACTTTGCCGCCTGACTTGTCCTGACCACCCCGTTAATTCTGTCAGTCTGTCAGTTAACCCTGGAGTATTTGAAATACTTGCTATCTGTCCTCTCCGCGTTCAGCTGTGCAGTGAGCTACAGACTTAGGTCTGTAACCCACGATCTAACAGTTCTCACACTCCGTGCATTGGTAGCTGCAGAGATCCCGGTGCTTCAGGCACGCTCGCTCACTGTTTTGGTTTCATCTTGTCAGAGTGAGGACCCGTCTCCCCCACCCCCGAGATCTGTAGCAGCACAGAGCTCTTTAGCTAAGGCTGAAAGAAGCCTCCCGTCTTCGGAGTGTCCCTGGGCACCTGATGGGAGTGAGCATATCACCCCGACTCTTCAGGTCTGTCCTTTCTCTGTGTCCCGCCCACTCAGCGGTGCCCTGCTCACTCAGCTATTCTGAACGTGTCTGTCCATCTGCCTCCTGCCCTTTCTGGTAGTCACTAGACCGAGCAAGCCCAGAGCATCTGCGGCAATGACTGTCCCCGCCTCTGCTGCAGTCGGAGGTCACCGTCCCTGCCAGGACCACTGCCGTGTCCCGGGAGGTCCCTGCTCTGGGTCTCCCCTTTCCCGCCTCAGTTCAGTTCCGTGTTTGCGCCTTAGTTCTGGGTCTCCCACGACCATCATTTCTAGCCTAGACCTCAGTCAAAGTACTGCAGTGACTCTCACTTTACAGTGAGTCTTGATTTCTTACTCTTTCGCTCGGGGTCCTTCACCCCACTCACCCTTGTTCCTGTGGTCTCCCTCTCCGTGGCACACTCGCACGCCCCCACACAGGGTACTGAGCTGCCTGCAGCTCTGGGCTATCCCAGGGAGGCCCCGCCCCTGAGACCGCCCGCTATCCTGAGCGCTGTGGGCACGCGGGTGCCGCTCCACGGGACCCCTTTCTGGGCACAGCTTTCATGTCAGGTCGCCCTGAGGCTGACTTTGGTTTGGGGCTGGGGCTGAAGAAGGGCAACAGGGGAACAGGATCCGAGTCTGTTTCTAAGGCCTGTGCTTGGTTCTGCTCCCAGGTGGAGAATCTTTTACTAGTTGTCATGCAGTCCGCCCACCTCGTCAGCCAGAGAAAGGCCTTCCAGCAGTCCATCGAGGGCCTCATGACCCTGCGCCAGGAGCAGACGTCCAGTCAGCCCGTCATTGCCAAGGCTCTGCAGCAGCTGAAGGTACTGCACGCCAGCTCTCCCTAGACCTGGTTGTTCTCTGGGTGCTGCGCTGGGAGATGCCTGCAGTTTATGGCAGAGTTGACATAAATTTTGAGTTTGACCTAAATTCTCCATCCCATGCCTCACCTTCCCGATACACACTTTCCCATGTCAAAACTAAAAATTTCCCGAACCTTTTCCTGGAACTATAGAATGTTCTTCGGCAGGACAGACATTTGAGCAGGTGCGCGTCTCCCCCAGGCACCACGCTCGGCCGGTAGCACGGTCACTGCTGGAGTTGGTCTCTGCTCTCCTGGCAGTCTCTCCATTCTCAGGTGCCAGTGTACGAGAGCGCTCCAGTCGGTGACGTGTAAGCTCAAAGACTTGCTGCTGCTTTCCTTGAGCAACTAAGTCAGCCAAATCAAATATGAGAGAAAGGCCTGTGGGCAGGCGCGAGGCCCCCTGGCAGCGCTGGCCCTGCCCCTCCTGCTCGCCTCTCCAGGGGCATCCTGACATCGCCCGGCTGGTGTGCACTGTCAGGGCTGCCAGCTTCCCAGGCACGGGAAGGCGTGGCTTCCTGTGAAGAGCTTCTTGAGAGTGCAAGTCGTTTGACAAGCATTTCTTCTTCTGTTGATCTGCTTTGTCTGTTCATAAACATCATCTCTACTGGACTGCTCTTACTGTCGTCTGAGGGTCAGGCTTTTTATCTTTTGTTTGAGTCAGTGGATGCTGGACAGTGCAAGATCCATATTCTTGAGCTCAAGAAATGTATAGTCCCAAACTGTCACTCTGAAGTGACCCAAACTGTCACTCTGAAGTGCAGAGGGCGCGTCAATGCTGAGGGCACCCGGGACTCAGCCACTGAGCTTGTCGCCAGCTCCAGCTTGGGGGGCTTCTGGGGCGCAAATTGGGAAGGAAAAGCAAGAGGGTCACTTGGGCGTCGGTGCCCATGCACCAGAGCCCCGGGGATCCCGAGCACCCTACTGCTGGGTGTGGCAGGGTTTGGGTCTGCAGCGTGGGCTGGTAACATCAGTTGGGCACATCTCAGGCTGCTGAGAGAGGTGGGATTTTGTTTTCTATCTCTCGTGGACCAGAACATTTAGAAAGAATAAATATTTCCAACTGTATGTATGGGATGGCAGGCAGAGACTGCACACGCACGGGTGTTCACGCGTGGGGGATCCTCAGTATCACTCGGGGAGACGACAGCGCTTGAGCCAGGTCACCGAGTCTCGGCCTCTGCGCCGCCCACATTCTGGGTCAGTGACTGACTGTGAGGCCGTGTCCTGCGCGCTCTGGCAGTGTCACTCGCCCCCAACTCAGTCGTGCCGGTAGGCCTGACCACCCTCACCTCCCCACCCCCTCCAAATTGCAGTTTTGGCAACTAAGCCTACCGCCCCCCCAACACCCCCCCACCGGCATTGCTCGCTTTCCCTCGGGGCTCACAATTGGACCCCATTGAGCGCCCCTGAGCTCAGGAGGGGCAGCGGAGGCACCTGAGGAGGACAAAGACTTGAAGCACGCGCAGTCGCTTAGAGGTGTGTCGTCCACTCGGGCTCCCTCGCGAGAGGAGCAGCCCTGAGAGAGGACCAGCCACTGGTCAGGGCGTGAGAGCGCTGACGGCCGGTGCGTCCTTTCAGAGTCCACGCTGGGATCCGGCTGATTCTGCACGAGGCTCTGTTTCCTCTGGGGTGTTGTGAGGCGGTAAAGAATAGCTAATGCAGATGAAATGAACACATTTCATCTGTTTTTGGCTGCTCCTTCTGGGTGACTAAAGGAAACGTGGCTCAAGTTTGCTGTGGCTGGTCTTTGTGTGGTAAAAGCAAGCGGCTTTTAAAGTGCACATGGTGCTAGTGATTTGCTCTGCTGGGTTAACTGTGAGTTGGCACTCTTTAGAACGATGCCTTGGAGCTCTGCAACAGAATAAGCGATGCCATAGACCGAGTGGACCACATGTTCACTTCGGAATTTGATGATGAAGTTGATGAATCTGAATCCGTCACCTTGCAACAGTACTACCGAGAGGCAATGATTCAGGGGTACAACTTTGGGTTTGAGGTAAGTGTCAGCCAAGAGGGAAAACACAGTGTAACTAGTCACTGCTTTGTAACTTACTAACAAATGTAGTTTGGATCTGGTAGGGCAAATGTGATTGCGGGTTGTAGTCCCGGCTTAGAGGGGAACGTCACCACGTCATCATGCACCGCTGCTGTCGGGAAATGCTTACTTTGCCTGTCAGATAATTGCCTGGTTTGTGTTGTATTAGCAGCTGTTCACTTAGATTGTAAATTTTCCTCTAGCATACGATTGCTATCCTAGAAATAGACCCTTATTTAAGCCGATGAGTAAGAGTTCTGCCTTTTAACACATTGTATTCCTTGTAACTCTTCATATGCTTTTCAGAGTATGTACATTTTAATTGGATTTGCTTTTTATTTTATTTATCTATTTTTAAAAGACACCACTTTTTTTGTTTTTGTTTTAATTTAAAATTTATTTTTTATTTATGCATACAGAGCTGGGGTACAGGCCAAAGATGCAGGGGCGGTGAGAGGCTTCACCAGAGACTGAGTGGGGAGCAGAACAGGCCAACTGACGAAGTCCACTGCTGAGGGGAGCAGCGGGGGTCAGGAGAGGTCTGCCGCGCCATGGGGGTCACCCCCTGGGGCTGGGGATCTAACTCTCACTGAAGTGGCTGCAGCCAGCTTGCAGTGGTGCGTCCTAACCGTTGCGCCACCAGGGAGGGCCCATGCTTTTTTATTTTTAAAAAATAACATTTGGGCCTCCCTGGTGGTACAGGGAGTTAAGTCTCAGTGTTATCGCTGCTCTGGTCTGAGTTTGCCTAAGTTTGATCCCCGACCAGGGAGCAGGGAGTGAACCACAGGGCTCAGCAGCCCCCCCAGCCCCCACCCCCATTCTGCTCCCCGCTCTGTCTCTGGTGAATCTGACCCCCTGCACCTCTGGCCTGTACCCCAGCTCTTGTGTGCATAAAAAAATAAAATGAATGTCTAAAATGCATAAATAACAACATTTAAAACAGATGTGGCGCTACAGTATTTAGGCATTTGTATAATCATTGTTTTCTTCTTGGTTTTGATAAGCTTGCACTCTTTCTTCCAGTATCACAAAGAAGTCGTTCGCTTGATGTCTGGAGAGTTCAGGCAGAAGATTGGCGACAGGTACATCAGCTTTGCCCGCAAGTGGATGAATTACGTGCTGACCAAGTGCGAGAGTGGCCGGGGCACGAGACCCAGGTAACGGCCAGGGCCCCGCTCACGGCTCTGCGGCTGGGCTGGTGCCGATGGGGGTTTCCTCTGGGCCCTGATGTTCTAAGTGATGTTCAAGAATGAAACTGCTTACATGGAGGCGCCGCTGCGGCCTCCTAGCAGTGCTCGTGCCGCCCGGCGCGTCTCCCGATGGCGCGTCTCCCTCCTCCAGAAATGCGAGCCTGGTGTGCGGTGGAAGGCGTCAGCACCTTAGTAGCCGGCTCCTCTGCTGAGGGGCCGTCTCCTTCCCAAACTCGGTGCCAACGTGCTCGGCCCCAGGCACCGACGGCGTCCCAGAAACATGTGTTTTGTCCTGGGTAGTAGTTTCCCAGTCAGATTCCTTTTCGGTCTCCAGCCGCGTTTCCCGGCGGTCTTGTCATTGTTGGCTCTTCCCGTCTGACAGGTGGGCGACTCAAGGCTTTGACTTCCTGCAAGCCATCGAGCCGGCCTTTATTTCCGCCTTGCCAGAAGATGACTTCTTGGTATGGGATGCTTGAGAGTGTTTTCATTATAAAACATGTCAGCTGTCTGCTGTCCATCCCTGACACTGCTTCTTAGTTAAATAGTAATCCCTGCATGTGTTTTGCGTGGACGCTAACAGTGCGCTTACTGGCCTTGTGGCCACTGTAGAATACTCAGTGCTCTTTCCTCTGACTGTCCCACTCACGACATCAGTGTCCAGCTGCTTGTGAGCCTGGCACCCTGGCGCGTTGGTCAGTTTCATAGTGCCGACGTGGTCGCTGCTTTTCAGCAATGTAATGGTGAACAAGGAGTAGCTACCCTCGGGTGTCACTTGAGGGCTTCGTGCCAGCTGTTAAATGTTACCACTGTTCTTCCAGTAAGTGCTGTCAGGTAAGACAGTGTTCGCTGCAGCCACCACACAGCAGGGGCTGTGATGGGCGAAGTCCCTTGCCTGCATGTGTCAGTGCATTACGAAAGCGAAGGCAGCTCGCTTTCACTTAAAAAATGGAGTCATGTGTTAGTTATGTATAGTAGTGTTCAGTTTGTGTTTAGACCTATTTTAAGTTAACTTTGGAAATAGTTACCAAGGGTAGCGTGTTTCCTATAAATCTGTCAGTACCTAATGTGTGCTGCCCATGGCACTGAGAGTGCAAATGACCTTCTCTCTTTGTCCTTCGGTCTCCAGAGTCTGCAGGCCTTGATGAACGAGTGCATTGGTCACGTGATCGGGAAGCCACACAGCCCTGTTACAGGTTGGTACCTTGGTAAGGCAGCAGTCTCCGTTCCCCAGAGCCCCTGGCACGGGCCAGCACATTGGCTTGCTAGTTGAGATCATACCAGACGGTATAGAATTTCTTTTAAGACTGTTCAGGAGCATGGTGGTGAAAGTCACAGCAACAAGGAGTGTGTGTGGAGATCTCCCAGTGGTCTTTACTCACCAGGCGCTAAAATGCCAACACACGGTATTCAGCGCTTGCCAGTGGTGTCACTGTGCTCCCCCCACAGTCTCGCTCTGCTCCCCCTTAAACCTCCTCTGGGGAGGAGAGACACAGAGAGCCGATTGTCTCATGAGGGTCAGCGCCTTTGCTGCTGCAGTGCCCATGAGGTCCGGCCCTCCCCAGCTCAGGAAGGAGGACAGCTTCGTCTCCGTCCCCACGGCTCTCCTGAGTGCCCGCTGGCCCGCTAATGAAGTAGATTCCTACTTGGTTTTACTGGAGACTACAACAGGATACTTGCCATTTTTAAAAAAAATTTTGTGTTTTGTTGATGCCCACTGGCTTAGAGTGCTATCTAGAGGTCAGGGGGTTGCTCTTACGCTTCGTCATGTTGTGGACACTGCATTGCAGGTGCCACAGCCTGCTTTCCACTGGCCACCATGCACTTAACAGCGGCCAGTGTGCTATCGTTACAGTCTTCAGATAGTCTTACAGTAAACATTAAAATACTCATCAAAAAAGCAATGTCTTACTGCCTTGTGAAGATAAATAAAACTATCTCAGAAAGAAAAGCATCCCAGAAAGAAAATTCAGACATGTGCAGCAATTTGAAGTACACAAAATAAAAGCTACAAATGGAAAGTTAACCGAGCAGCAACTGTATTTTAAAGTACTAGTCAATCACCAAAACATTAGTAGATCAAGTTTTAATGTATGGTTTCTGAATCTTTAAAATGCTCTCAGTTAGGAAATGGAAGTTAATGTTTGCAAAACTATGAGCATTTTTATACAGGTGCTATGGTCTTAATCAAACTTTTGATTAAACATAGAATTATAAATACTATACATTTTTGTAGTATATTTCTTCGTAGAAAAAAATCTGCAATGTAACAAATATATTTAAGAAAATTTTCCAAAAGACACAATCCCTTTTGGATTTTCTTTTCCGTGAAGGCCAGCTTTTCAGTATATGAAACCCTTCAGTGCTTGAAGAACGCCGACCTTGGGTGCATCTTTTACAGAACGCTTGTATTTTATTTCTTCCTGGGAGAAGTTTGCCTCCTGCTTTTGACTGACGCACCCTTAGCTTGCGAAGGGCCCCGCCCCCTGCGGGGCGTTTCCGGCCTCGGCCTCCGGGATCTGACGCAGTTGGTCTGCACCGACTCCTTTACCTGCCTTCGTCCTGCCTGCCGGCCAACAGCCCCCCCCTCGGTAGAGTGAGTCGCGGCCACTGCTTGCCTGCGTGTTTTTTTAGTTTTTGGTTTTCGTTTAATTTCCCCATCAGATTTTCCTTCTTTGGTCTATGTGACTTATCAAAAGCAAAGCGAACCAACAAAAACTGTGAAGAAAGTATTTTCATGTAGGATTCAGTATCTGTAAAATAAAACATTAAACATCGACTAGAATTATTAAAAACGTGACATTTAAGATCAACTAGGGAACATTAACAAAGCCAGAAGTAGGGGCAGAGTGTTGGGGCGAAACCATGGCCAGCTACGTCTCACTGCTGGGAGAGGAGAATCGGCACCATTATTTGTGATCACTAGGTAAGGTCTCATACACTTTTTCTGGTTTCAGAATTTTAAGTTTTAAGTTCTCTGCATATTTAGCTTCCATCAGAGTATTTAAAAAAAGAATAGGAGACACTCAGAGCTGAGCCGTCTAAACTGTGCCACATCCTCCTGGTCGCTTAAAGATGCTCAGGGGGTCTCCAGGCGCGGGGTGCCGGGCCCCCCTCAGTGCAGGGGTGGAAGAATGTCCCCACTGCTCTCTGAAAATGCAGAACGTGACTCCACTCGACCACTGCCACGCAGCCACACTGTTCACGTGGGTGAAGGGGTTCAGCCCTTGCTTCACACACATGGCATACATCTCAAAAATGCCTTTAGTGGGAACAGAATGAAGTGTGCCTACCGCAGTGACCTATTCTTCAGCCTTGGTCTGCCGTGGGATTTTCTTACACGGCGGACTCCTTGGTCACCAGCATAGCGACGTCACCTCGCCTTTCCGTTGACCAGCCTGGCTCAGCAGTTTTCTGTTTGACCTTTTAACAAGTTGCGTGTCGCCGTTTTCCCCGGCAGCTATTCACCGGAACAGCCCCCGTCCTGTGAAGGTGCCCCGGTGCCACAGTGACCCTCCTAACCCACATCTGATTATCCCTACTCCAGAGGGGTTCAGGTACTTGCGGCTTTCCGTGCTGTTTGCCGGGGGTGCTTCTCTGACGCGCATGCTAATACTCTGACAGCCGCTGGACGCTTGCTCTCATACCTCAGCTGTGTTTTCTGGGCTCTATTCTTATTTTTCAGAAACTCTTACTTGCATTATCCAGAGGACATTCCAGCAGTGTACTCCTTGCAAAAGAAAGACATGCAAATGCAAAAAGACTGTACTTTCGAGATAACTTAGGTTCTTGGCTTATTTACAGTCTCAAGCTACTAAATGCTTTCTAGCTCTGGAATAATTCTTTTTCTTCCTTAGGAAAACGACCTAAGAAAACAAATTTGAGAGTTACCTCATGTAATGACCCTTGGAGGGAAATCCCATTGAAATTTAAAACTGGGGACAAACTGAAATGATTACTTCAGTGCAGGCTTTTGTGTGTGTATGGAACTGGAGCTTAAAATGATACCGTAGTTCTAAAACACTTACCTGAATGTGGTGGCATTTCTGCATCTTAAAGGGAGTGAGCACCTTCTCTCCCCTGGACGATCACTTTTAAAAGTTCATTTTGACTATTTGCTAAGAGAGGGCCACAGTTATTTTTGAATTTAGTTTTCTTTTCCATGCCTAGACCTGATTCTTGATCAAAGAAGGGATTGAGCTCTGTATGTCAGTTTGTTTCATTCTCACCCTGTTTATTTCTCCCTGAAAACCACTTGGGAGCCCACCCCCGTTGCTTGCCTGTTGCTGAAGCTGTTCTCTCGTCTCAGCACTCGGAGCGCGCCCGCGGACCCCCGGAGCCATGGCAGCCCCGCGCCCGGTCGCCCCGGCCCCTCAGGCAGTGACTCTGCGCCACCCAAACCCATCAGCAGTGCCCATGACACCAGGTAGCCTCACCCCGCCAGTGTCATGTCCCCGCACCCGCCCCCCCCCCACAACACACGTGCACGCACCTGTCGGGCCTGGGCTTTGAGTGGGGTGCCGGAGAGGAAGGCCTCCGGGGCCTCTGCCAGACGGTCAGACTTCTCTGGAGCTGGAACAAGTGGTCATCACCTGGCCGAGTCTGTGCCGTTGTAACTCTAAGATAGAGTCACAGAGCCAGGCCCACCCCAGGGGCCTGTGAGACCTTCGGCCAGGTCTCTGCTGAGGGTCCCCACGTGGTGAGAGGGCGTCTGACCAGCACCGAGGTGCCGGTTCACGCTTCGAGGACGGTCATCTTTCTAACGGGATTTCTTACCCAGTTTGAACTATTGCTGACTAGAATTGGTTTGTAGAAGTAGAAAGTGAATGAGCGGGTTGGTGTGCTGTGGAGACGAGCAGCGCAGGGCCGCTCGGGCAGGCTGAGCTTCTGCGCGCAGCCCCTGGCCGGTCAGCGGCCTGCGGCCGTCCCCCTCGTGCAGGGCCTTTCCTCACGGCTCCACTCCTTCCGGGGCAGCCTGGGCGCGTGTCATCCCCCGGCTCTGGGGGAGCCACTGTCCCTGTCCGCACCCTCCAGTGCGGCTGGTCGTCTGGCAGACTGCCGGGATTGGGGTGGCAGATCGAGGAGAGGAAATGGAGCGGGCGCTTGGGGCGCTGTGCCCGCACGGGGGGGCAGAGGCCTGTACTGTTGGCAGGAGGTGTCTTGCGGCTTCACCGTTTACTTAGTTCAGAGCAGTCTGAAACCTGCATGTCTCCATCCTCTTGGCGGAAATTTAAGTTCTCCCATTTCTCATTCGTGAAAATTATGTTTCTGATTTTTACTAGTATGTACCCTTAACCGGAAACGCACCAAGGTATTTTACAGCTGAAGCAGTCGGCTCCAGAAATTACCCAGTGACCCGAAGCCCAGAGCCACTTGCTCCCCCGTGTTTGCATTTTGTGCATTCCGTGGCTGATGTGCCTCGTCGGACTCCAGCCTCGGGGCCGCTGGCCCTGTGGCTCTTCTGTGCGCCGGGCAGCCTCGGGCACGCAGCATCCCTCTGCACAGTCGCCGGTGGGAACAGCTTGGCCTGACCATGGCGCCAGGCGGCACCTGGCTCAGGCCCTGGCCCACGCTCTGTTAGGGGCCTCGTGAGCTGGTGTGTGGCACCCTCAGTGTGTTTCAGGACCAGGAAACCACCTTGGCGTTTTAAAAGCTGCAGGTGGTCTGTGCTCCTTGCTAGGCCTCAGCATATTGGGAGTCGCGTTTCGTGAGAACTCCTCATCTGTGTACCACAAGGGGGCCCCTGGTAATTAGAAGTCAGGCGGTGTCGTCCCGTGCCTTCCTGGGCCATGGCTCAGGGTCAAGCTGGCCGCCCTGGCAGGTGGCACCAGCAGAGGGCCCGGCATGTGTATATGACCTGGGCCAGCCAGGGGTTGGGGAGCGCCTGGCCTGGAACCGGGCTTGTGATCGTGCTGAGGGAACCAGATGGTTCCTGTGGCTTCCCGCGTGGGTGGGCGCCCAGCCTGGGGTCCCGCCTTCACCTGGCAGACGCCTCAGCCCCTGCAGAACCCCCTGCCCGCAGCAGCTGGCGAGCACTGCTGTGGTGTGGTTTGGCCCGGACAGTGGTCAGGCTTCAGTGCTCCTGCCGTCACTGACAGGACACCACAGTGCCCTGCTGGCTGCTCCTGGTTTGCAGGAGCCGACTATATTTTACAGGGTTGGGCCAGCCAGTTGGTAGACCTCAGAAATTGTCAAACTTCTCTAATTTTCTACACCACTTACCCCCCGCCGCACCCTCCCCTTCCCCGCCAAGAGCCAATTGCCACTTAACACCCAGATGTAGGAGCACTTTCTTCCCCTTGACCCTGGCGAGGATGCCTGCAGGCCCACTGGCACGTTTCTTCCGCGAGCAGTGGAGGCCCTGGCGCTCCCGCCAGTCCCGGCCCGGCCGAGGGTGGTGTTTTCACTGGATGGTGCCAGGGCCTCTTAATGAGCTACGGGCTGGGCGTGTCCCCTTCTCTTCCCGCATCAAAGGGCGTTGCTGGTCTGGGGCTCCGGGCACTGGCGCACCTCCCACGGGCCGTCCCGGGGCACCTGCGTGGACCACGTTGCCCTAGCCGTCCGGCGTGTAGTAGGAAGAGCATAAATGCTACCACACTTCATTACGCGCATTACGGTGCACACTAAACTTACCACTAAGTAATGCCGTGCTCACTGTAGAGCATTTGAGTTGCAGTTTTAACACATCCTTTACCTAATTCTGGGCTTTACTCCTTACGGGCTCACTCTGGGTTTCTGGGCTCTCCGCTTTACTCTGGAAACGCAGCACTTCAGCTTGTTCTGTGCCTCCTGCGCGTCCTGCTCCTGCGCACTCTGGCTTGGCTCCCGCTCTGGCGGGCCTGGGGGGCCCGGTCCTTGTCACTGACGTGGAATCTTCACTCCACGTGGAACCGCAGTCACTTTAGCACTTTTCAGAGCTGAGTACTTCAATATAACTGGTAATCTGGAATATTAGTCAGATGCGGTGATCATTTTCATCCTGGGCTAAGGTGGCTCCTGCCACATGTCAGTAAATGGCCAGGCTGTTTTTTATTTTGGTTTTCACATGAAACTCTTATCACGCCGTCAGGTTCCCGTGCTGACTGTGGAGAGATAAAGTCAGACTGGCTCCACGGCGGCGGCCCAGCCGCCCCCTCGTGTCCCCTGCACGGGGCCCCCCCTCGTGTCCCCTGCCCGCTCTCCGGGCAGCGGCTGTCCGGGACGGTTACCCCAGTGTAGAGTCCGCTCTGAAGGAGCCTCTCGGACTGCATCCTGCGTCCATGTGACCCGGTAGCTCATTGGTGACAATATTCACACAGGGGTTCCAGCGTGCCTGAGAACGACCGCCTGGCGTCCATCGCGGCTGAGCTGCAGTTCCGGTCCCTCAGCCGTCACTCCAGCCCCACCGAGGAGCGAGACGGTCAGTGCCCGGACGGGAGACGAGAGGGTGGCGCTGCGAGGGTGTGGCGCGGCGCGGAGTGGCTTCTGCCCAGACCGTGTGCCTGTGTCTGCGTTCTCGAGGCCTGCTCTTGTGGCCTTTTAGCAGAGTGACGCCTTAAAAATGCAAAAGGCCAACGCCTGGCGGCCTGGGGCCCAGTCTCAGGCTGTCACTGCCACAGCCTGAGTTCGGTCCCGGCCAGGGAGTGACCACAGGGCGCAGCAGACCCCTCCTGTCTCCCCGCAGCTCCCTCAGCAGTGGGTTTCAGGGGATCTGCCTATTCCGCATCCCGCTCTCTCTCTGGTGAAGCCTCTCAACCCCTGCACCTCTGGCCTGCACCCCAGCTCTTCTACTAAGTAAATAAGCAAATACTTAAAACAACAGAGGTTGACGATTCGCTGAAGCTTTGCTGATGCAGACCTAGGGGTTTCACCCGGGGCTGTGGGTCACCAGTGCTTAACCTGCCGGGCTCCGGGGCAGGACTTGCGAGCAGGGTCCCCAGGAGTCCAGTTTCTGTGCAGGCCATTGTCTGTCACTCGTGGAAACGCTTCTTATTTGGCTGCCGTTTTCTAGCCCAGAGCGTGGAGCTGGCGTCGCACGCACAGGACGAAGCCCGCCTCCGGGAGGGCGGCCGCTGCTCGCGTGTCTCTGCCTCACAAGTCTTGGTTCTTCACCCCACAGAACCAGCGTATCCAAAAGGCGACTCCGGTGGGTCAGCCCGGAGAAGCTGGGAGCTTCGGACGCTTATCAGCCAGACTAAGGGTGAGGAGAACCGGCGTCGGCTCGTCGCGCAGGCCTGAGCCGCGGCTCCAGCTTCGGGGCTGCCGGGCCGTGGAGCCGGCGTGCGCTGGGCCCAGTCCCTGCTGTGCCCTCGCTGCCCTCCTGCCTGCCCCCTGCCGTGCCAGCTGCAAGCCCACTTGGTCAGAAGCAGGCTTTGTGGCCTTCGTATTTTCCAGTCGCCCTCGTTAGTTTCCTGTCACCTTGAGCCCTGAGCATAATTCTTTGCATGTGGCAGAGGCCTGGTAGATGTCCGCGAAATGAATAATCGTTTCCGATGTTCAGCGAGGAGAGTCCCTCTCACAGAGTGGGTAAGCGGGAACTGTCACCAGAGGAAGTGCTGGCAGACAACCCGGAGCAGGCACATCCCTGCCCGGCCCCGCGCGGCCCGACGCGCTTTGGCGCAAGAGGCGGGGCGCACGCTCTCGCCTCCGTGACCCGGGTTCAAACCTCCCGGCCTGCAGTAGCCGGTGCTGGGGAGTGGGAGGGTGAGGGGCGCCCCGAGGCAGGTTGCCCCGCGAGGCCGGTGGGAAACGGCTCAGCGGCCTTGCCGGCGGCAGCGGCCCCGGGAGGTGGGCCGGTGTGCGGGGAGGAGCGGGGCCGGCAGGGCGGGCGGAGAGGCGTGCGCTGCACGGCCGAGCCTGGTGAGGGGACCCCTCTCTGCGGCTCCCACACGTCATTGGTCCCCACGGCATCATCCCCTGGCGGAGATTTTCAGAACAAGTGCTTTGTGCTAGAGTGCACGTAGGTACGAGGGAGAACACAGTTCACACTGGCGTAGCGAAGACCGAGAAGGCTCGAGCAGATTCTGTGTGGGGAAGGAAGCCTCTGCCAGGAGCGCTGGCCGCGGGGCCTTCAGCTGGTGGACGGGGCCGGCCACGCGTGGCGCGCGAGAGGCACAGCTCCCTGTCGCGGAGGGCGATGGTCGGGAAGCCGGAGCTAGAGCACGGGAGCCTGGCCGTTTCTCTTCTGAAGCTTCTCACACTTGTCCCTGGCCTCGGTGGTCACTGTTCTGCCAGGACGCCCAGCCCTGAGCACAGGGCCGAGGCCTGTGAGGCACGACAGGCGCCCCGACGGCTGCCCGTGAGCGTGACGTCAGCATGAGAGCCCTGGGGTGGCTCTGCCGGGGGTCGGCGTGAGTCCGTGCCGATGTTGGCTTAGCCGCCTGTGAGACAGACGCCTCTTACTGTGAATGGTGATGGAGTATGTTGGGTGAAGCTCGAAGCCTGGTGGCGACTAAGGACGCAGCAGGGCGGCCGCCGGAGCCGGCCCGAGCTCATGTGCTGCAGGCGGCCCTCCGTGGGCCTCGCCGGGGTCTGAGCGAGTGCTCGGGGCTTGACACGCAGCGTCAACCAGCCGGTCCATCATCTGACGCCTAGAAAGTGGGGAAGCCAAAGCCCTCTGGGCTCTTCCCAGAGAGGGAGGTCTGCCCCCTCTGCATGAGAGACGGCTTCCCAGCAGCGGGGGGCCTTCCGCTGGGCGCAGCACGATGCTGGCCAGCCTGGCCTGCAGGCCGGCAGAGGGGGCGAATGGGCGTGGGCCGAGCCGAGCCTGGCATCCGGAGCCTGTGGCCGGAGGAGGGGCCTGCTGCGGTGGACTGGCCAGGTCCGGGGCTGAAGCCTGCACGTAGGGCTGCGTCTTTGGTGAGCAGGTTGCGGAGACCAGCACTCGCGGATTCCGTGTGTCCGGGAGACAGCTTGCCGCGAGCGTGCGGTCTCAGCCGGGGCAGGTGGGGCCGCTCACTGCGTGGTGAGAGCAGCAGCCTCGGGCTCGTGGGCCCGTCGGACTGCACGCCGCCAGGTCAGCTGGGCGCTCACCAGCTGCGCCCCGGTGGACTTTACGTCTGTGCTTGCCTGTGTGGCCGTGACCCCTGCCAGTGTGTACTGCTCTGTTCTACCGCTTCTGGGAAATTGACTGGGGTGAGTGAGTCTGTGGTTCTGCCTGCAGATACGGCTTCAAAACAGGGACCCATAGAAGCTATCCAGAAGTCGGTCCGGTTGTTTGAAGAAAAGAGGTATCGAGAAATGAGGAGGAAGAACATCATCGGCCAAGTCTGCGACACCCCTAAGTCTTACGATAACGTCATGCATGTCGGCTTAAGGAAGGTGACCTTCAAGTGGCAAAGAGGAAACAAAATCGGTGAGGAGGGGGCAGGCGACATCCTCTGTACTTAGCTGTTTTCTTTTAAAATGTGGAAAATCGGCTGTTTTTCCCCAGAGGGATCTGCTTCTTATTTTATTTGTAAAATGTCCTCTAAGAGCAATACACAGTGAGAGTTTAGCAGGAGGTTTGAGTTGAAGTTTTCCTCCGTAACGCCACAAGTTGCCAGTGGTAAGCTGCGTAAATTTTGCCCATTGTTGCTTTCTAGAATGGCTGCAGAACAGAGTAGTCTTCTCTTCTAAACGCTGCCCAGTTGCTATTTCCCGGGTGGAGTGACTTCTTGTAAGCAGCTTGGTGAGGTCGTGTGAGAAGTGGCCGGATGATATTTTACCTCCTCCCGTGTGCTTCTGTCTGTCCAGCGTTTGGGGCTGGAGAGGCAGGCGCCGCTGGCCACGGGCTTGCGTGAGCCCCGGGAAAGCTGCGGCGTCCAGAGACCTGCGCTCAGAGAGCAGCAGATGCTGGAAGCAGCCGTCGTGCCACAGGCTGTGTCGGTTGTTGTCCTCAGTCGTGTTCAGCCACGTAGCCCCATGCTGAACGTGCCACGGTGTGTGCCCCGTGAACGCTTGGGGCGGCGGCCGTGGGACCCGTGGGTGGCCTCTGCCCGGCGGGCCGCACCTCCTCAGCACCAGGAGGTTTGTAAGTGCACAGCCGCGTGTGGTCAGTCTGCTGTGGAGGCGAGTGCAGCGAGCCTCGGGAAAAGGCTGCCGAGACGTCAGTCCTGAGGCGCCGTCAGAAGGGTGTGCCCGGGAGCGGTGCGCGTAGTCACAGGCCCGGGCCAGCTGGGACACCGATTTGGATGGCAGGAAGCGGCCTCCCTCGGGGGACTGAGCGCGCCCTGTGTGTGTTCCAGGGGAAGGGCAGTACGGGAAGGTGTACACCTGTATCAGCGTCGACACCGGCGACCTCATGGCCATGAAGGAGGTGAGTGGTCTGGCCCGCTGCCTCCTCGCGTGGCACCTCTGGTGAAGAGACTTCTGCTCACAAGCTTCTGTTTAGCGCGCAGAGCTGACTTGCGTGCTTCTGTGGTGAGAGCTCGGGGCCCCCACCTGCTGCTTGGCCCGAGACTGTTGGGGACCAGCCAGCCGGATTTACGGAGAACCAGGGAGAGTGAGAGTCTGCTGCGCAGCAGGGGTGGGCCAGGAGCACAGACTGCCCCGCCCGGGCCCAGGACAGAGCCATCTGGGGAGACAGACCGCGAGGGCCACGCAGACGGCGTCTGGGGGGGGGCGGCGCAGAGAGGAGAAGTTGGCGCCCGTGACCAGCTTTAGAAGCGCACGGCAGTTTAACCTGGAAGAGCAGGGGGAAGGTGACGAGGGCCCAGCGGAGCAGGGCCAGCTGGCTCAGGAGGGAGAGGCGCTGGGGTGGGGGCGTGGGGTCCTCCGCCCCGCGTGGCGCTCACCCGCACCTCATAGCCCGCGTCCTCGGCTGGCCAGCTTCCGCAGGCAGAGCCCTCTCGTCTGTCTTGCCCAGAAGCTAAGTGCTGGCGACTGCTGCTGGAGGCTGGGTGTCAGCTCAGTCTGCAGGCTGAGAACGATCCCATTAGCTGTGCTCTCGCCAGATACTCTGAAGCGGCCCTTTGGTTTCACCCGAAACGACAAGGAAAGGGCAGCCTGGGAGTGGCGCCGTCCCACGCGGCGCCGGCAGGGCGGCGATGGCGGGTCCCCAGCCCCGGCTGGGCCAGCGGGCAGTGATGGTGGCTTGCTTTCCTCCTGCAGATTCGGTTTCAGCCTAATGACCATAAAACCATCAAGGAAACTGCAGACGAACTGAAAATATTTGAAGGCATCAAGCATCCCAATCTGGTTCGGTATTTCGGCGTGGAGCTGCACAGAGTAAGCCGACTTTAGTCACACTGTGTGGTGTGAGGATCAGTCAGGGCACAGACGGGGTCCTGTCCTACATCACAGGTCTTCTCATTTCAGAGCACAGTAACTTTGCCTAATTATCAGGAACTCTCCATGACTTACATCATTTCTGCCTTCTCTCTGAAACTAGAGGAGTTCTTCCTAACATGTAAGTTGTAGACGGTAGTCACAGACCTGACATTACGAGCTCTGAAACCCACCCTGCAGCCAGACGGCGCTTCCGGAGCCCCAGCGGCCGTCCTTTTTGCTCCCACGCTGGCGGGGTCCCTGTGCACCCCGGGAGCTGCTGCGGAGACCTCAGTCCACGCCTGATGTCAGAAATAGGCTCTGTGAGGGAAGCAGGACAGGACACCTTGGAGCGTCTTGGTGGCGTGTGAGCTTCCAGGCTGTCAGTGACTTTCATGCTTCGCTCCTCAGGTCACGCGGAAAAGGATGGTTTCAGTACTTACTAGCGCGTTTCCAGGGCAGCGCGCCGGCCCCGGCTGGGCTCGCTTGCGGGCTCCGCTGGCCGCCCGCGGTCCGGAGAGGCTC